GCCCGGGCGGCGGCGGGCGGCCTCCCGCGCCCCGGGCCGAACTTTGAACGCGGGTCTGGGGCTGGTTGCCCGGGGCCGTCCTCCTTCCCCAAAGTCCCTCGGCGTCTTCCCGGGGGCGGCGCGGCAGCTGAGTCCTCACCGCGGCAGCGCCGCAGCCGGGAAAGTTTGGGTCTGGCCGCTGGTAGTTCCGCGTTGGCCCCGCCGGCTGCTCCCGCCCATCCCGGGCACCGCGGGCACTTGTGGCGCCAAAGGCTCCCGGCGCAGATCGGCAGTATCTCTTTGGAACGCGTCTCGGGTAGTTCAGGCTTCTCGATCGCTTCATAAAGGAGCGTTACGTCGATCTTGACAGTGATAGAGGTACCAGAAGTTTGTAACGTCACCGTGTTTCGTAAGGACTAACAAGTTTTTTACGGAAACATGCGTTTTCAGGGAGATAGGGACTTTTTTGGGCAGTGTTTGTCTTTTCATGTAAACAGAGCCACGGAGCTATCAATTATTTTTTTTTTCTTTTTTTTGAACAGTAAAGGTGGTTGAGCAGCATTGTGTCTATAGAATGCAAATGTTTTCATTTCATAAACTAAGTCGTCTGCAACGAACTGAACTGTGATTGAACTGCGTGAAATTTTAAGTGAAGAAGGAAGCAAATATGGAAATGGAGAGCAAGTTTAATAAATGAATACAAAGTGAGAGGAGAAACAGATAGCAGGCACTTCCACCAAACTGTCAGGTTGAGATGTGTCTTTTAAAGACGTTTTGAAGTTTCTTGAAAGTTTTGGTGTACCAGAGGGTTGCTTTGGCATTTTTCAGGTTTTTTTCTAGCAGTTAAAAGAATTTGGAGTGTATTAGTATTCTTGTGGGAAGTAGAAATTAACTACTCATGAGACATCTGTGTCACAAAATACTCTCATGCAGTGTTTTGACTGGGGGCTGCTGCTTTGTTAGTCTGAGTTCATACAGAGTATTCTCAGCAATACTAAGAAGTGGCATTACTGGTAATGTGAGTGGAGATACTACACACTGCTTTAAGGAAGGCTACATTAAGAAAACACAGTTTCATTAAATTTTGCTTTCCTGTTTTTATTACTGTGTGAAAGATGTTCTTCTTGCTCCTTGAGTAGGAAGAAAAATATTTTTAAAAAATTGCAGAAAAGAAGAAATAAGCCAAAAATTCAGGAGACAAATGCTTTTTGCCTATGGCCTGTCCTGATTATAACATTGTGAAGTGTTGCATAATAAAAGTAATGTATTTGCTGGAATATTTTTAAATCAATATTTCAAGTCATATGTTAAGTAAAACATCCTAGAATGAAAGACATTAGCAAAGGTAGACCTAATAATCATTGTTGTCATTATTAAATAAGGAAATATAGTTGGGCTTGATCCATTTATTTCTGACAAGTTAATTCCCTTTGCTTTAACTTTTCACAGAAGTTAGGAAATTGATTCTTTCACTCTGCTCCGCTTTAGAGATTCAATTACTTAAAGAACTGTTTTGTTTTTGATTCAACTACTGGTTACGGTAGGCAGTTCACTTAAAGATTTCTGCTGTGTCTCAATTATGATCAGACAGGGTTGGTCACTAAATGCTTTGAGATTGATGATGCAGATAGGAGTTATATAGCATTATGGGACAACAAAGCAGTGAAAAACACAACATCAACTGAGTCATTGTCTTCTAGATTTTACAGAACTGTTTGTTTCGCTTTGGTCTTTTTTTCCTCTTCTTCACTCTTTATTCCCTTTCGTTATTGGTCACATGGAATCTGAATAGTGACACCTGCCTGAATGTTCCCTTGTAACAGCTTTGTTCTCTTCTGTATCTGTTGCAATACCAAGCTGGGCTTTTTCTTCTGTATATTTTTTCATCTCAAGACACAAGTCTTGGCTACTTGCTTGTACAGATATTTTTTGTAAACTATACCATTCCTTTTATTTTAACTGTATGCCTATAAACACCTGTGTTGCTTTTGGTAATATTTTCCCTGATTTTGCAAGCATCAACTCTCAGCAAAGAATTGGGGTTTTTGTTTTGTGCTTGCTTTTGGTTTGGAGTGCTAGTCTGATTAAGAGCCAGAGGTAGTTTACATCAGGAATTATGCACTTAATGGTCAGAGCTACAGCTCTGCCTATTCAGAACTTTGCCTATGCCGCGTGTGGGAAGCCACCCCGTTCTCTTTCTGGGCTACCACCTGTCATGCAAATAGTTTGTAACAAAGAAAAATTTGTTGTGTAGACTGCCCTGTGACTTGTTAAGACTGTCTTAGAATGGCTTAGCAGTTCAAGTGTATTTAAATTGTGGATTGCCTTGCAATGTTTTTTTATGTTTTACATTATCTTTGGAGTAGTCTTATTTTTTTAATATATATTTTCATTTCAGGATGACACAGAAGAAAATTCCAATGATGGCAGCCAGCCGTCCAAAAGACGGCGTATGGGCTCAGGGGACAGTTCTCGGAGCTGTGAAACTTCCAGCCAAGACCTTGGGTAATACTGTGTTTTACAATTCCCACTTTCTATTGCAAGTCTGACTTCATTGTTCAGCATGCTTAAGTGTTAGTACTTTTTTCATTATTTGTGTATTCTTCATCCATCTTTCCAAACTGAGGTGATGTCCTAGAAATACCTAGGTGTCTATTGCTCCCAGTATATTTTAAGGCATTTTATTTTAGAGTGCCACAAAAAGTGCTGCATCTGATGTGCAATCAGAAGCAGTTTACATGTTTTCAAAACATTGTGTACTTGAATGAATGGTGACTGTAGTAATCATGCTGAATGAATTTTGACTCTGTAGTACTTGCTTTTCCTGGTGTCCTCTCCATTATGATGGTTATCAGGTGGTTTCTTTAGATTCTGTCCCTTAGCATGTTGGCAAGTGGTGATTTAGAGAAATATATGTGAGGTTGGGTGTAACAAAGTGACTTTTGAAACAGGCTAACAGGATGAAGTGTTCTAAAGTATATGTCCAACTCTGTAGCTACTGTTTCAGTGACATATAAGTAGGAATTACTGAATTTCTGGAGATGTAAGTAGTATTCTTAAGGATTGTTGTGATTTGTTCTAATGTTGTTCTTATGTTTAGGTATAGTTATTTTCCTGCTGAAAATTTGATAGAATACAAATGGCCACCTGATGAAACAGGAGAATACTATATGCTTCAGGAGCAAGTCAGTGAATATTTGGGTGTGACTTCCTTTAAAAGAAAATATCCAGGTATTTATTTTTAAAGTTTTTCTTCTAAAAGCGTGTGTCCTTAAACAGTCTGGATGTAGTCTGTGCTTCTTTGGTTATGGGATGGGCTGACTGTTAATAAAAAGACCTAGGAAAAGCAGACCTGGATTATACTTGTACTTTTTATTTTCATTACTGGAAATTAAATGTATCCACTGGTTTTCAAAGTAATATGAGACTTTGTGATATTGCCATGAAAATTTGCAAACAAGTCTGATTTGACGGTTAGATCAGACAGTTAGATCAGGTACTGTTTGAAAACTGATGTTAATTTTATTTTTAGTGATTTGTTGATGATTTCTTACTATATAACTGGATCTCTCTATTCTGTTTCCTGAATTGTGGCAACATTCCTACACTGTGGAAAAATACTAAAAGGTTCAAGTATTTATTATCAAGTATTTGAGCCTCCGTTATTCAGAATTGTCAAAGCTGGCTCTTTTGTTGGGGAATTTATTTTTGGAAGTTTTGGTAAAAGAGAAAAGACTGTACTTTCAGTGCTTGTTAAAATTTTCTGCATCTGAACTTACATGTCAGATTTCTTTAGTTTTCTTGTAAATCATAACTATAGGCAGGGTCTTGACTTACTGTAGGTCAAGAAAATTTACCATGTCCCTACATTGTTTGTTAAATTTAAAAGTTTTTTATCAAGTTATCATGTTTCTTGGAATTAGCAGTATAATACAGGCTCTAACTGCATGGAAACAAAACAGTTGAAATACTTTGACAGTGTTTATGGGAGAGTTTCAGTTACTGCACACATTTTTATTTCTCTTTTTTGTTTTTTTTTTGAGATTTAGAAAGGCGAGATTTATCTCACAAGGAGAAACTCTACCTCAGAGAACTAAATGTTATCACAGAGACTCAGTGCACACTAGGTAAGAAAACAAATTGTTAGACTCCTTATTACAGTACAAAAAGTATGACACTGAAAAAGGGGGCTCAGTTTGGTAGAGAATGATTGTATCCCTCTCAACTGAAAACATAAATTCTGAAATGAAAACTGATTTATTATTATTTTAGTAAATTAGCCATGATGTATCAGTATTCCAGATTTATTATTAACAAATATATTTTGGATCTGTTCTAATTACTTAGAGGCTGTATTCTAAGTTAACTTGTAGAACCTTTTTCTCTTAGAGAACACCATAATTGTGTAGTCTCATATATATACATATATGTACATATATACATCGTGGTATATATTGTGTATATATGTACAGGGTGTCTTTATATACATTAGTCTTATTTTGCTGCATTGCATTGAAGGCCAGAAAACATCAGTGTATGTTAAATGGTTCTGCTTCTATGTTAGAAATTAGAAGAATGTATATTATGGCACTTGAATATACTTGAAATGGATTGATGTGATCTCTGAGGGTTTTATTGAAAGTTTTTTTTTTCTTACTCTTCTGATACATGTGATTTGGATATGCTAGAGTTTAAATGATGCTGCCATGGTTTTTTTGTTGTTATTTTATCATGAGTCTTTGAAAATGTAATGTCATTTTATACGTTAACAATCTTTAGTATACCGCCTTTATTTCTCACCTGTGAGCTGTCTGTTTAACTTAACTATACATAAGAGAACCGTATCTAATTTTTATATATAGAGGTAAAATGTTATATTCTGCCTTGTATCTCCAATAGAGATGTGTGCTGACTTAACTACCCCTGTTTTTAAAATTACAGTTATAATCAGTGGTAGTGACATAAGTCATTCCATGCTATTGTCTGTGTTTGGAGATTAGTTGTGTTGGAACTGTCAGGGGAGATCTGCACTGTAGCTGTAAACTGAGGCATTCTGCCTTCTGAACTTGAAATGCTTTAATTGGGAGTAAGGAGTCTGTGCAGTTTGCTGCTCTGAATTCCTCTCCTAAAGATTCTTCCCTGATTTGTATAGAGACTTTATGTAAACCTTGTAATTTCAGTAAAGGTTCTGAAGGGTAATGAAACTTCACCAGCACTGGAAACTGAAACTAACAGTACGCGAGGTCCCATCTAGAACAAAGGTTCTGCCTCACCAGTGAGTTTTTAAGTAGGTGATTGAGTCAATGTGAAGGGGTCTGTAGCTGTAAGTAATGACATGAGCCTTGGGTATAAGCAAACTCCTAGTCAGCCTTGAAAGCTAAATGGCACAAGTTCACTGCTACTTGAGAAGGAAAAGCATTGTGCACAGAAGGTGGTTGTTGTCTTTAGCTACTCAAAAACTTAGAGTTGGTCATTGTGCGATATAAATAACCTACAGTTACTTTTGTAGATAGCATCATTGTTGCTTTTATTTATTTTAGGTCTAACAGCTTTGCGTAGTGATGAAGTAATTGATCTTATGATTAAAGAATACCCTGCCAAACATGCTGAGTATTCTGTTATACTGCAAGAGAAAGAACGGCAGCGAATAACAGATCATTACAAGGAGTACTCTGTAAGTAATTACCACTTACAGATGGGAGTGTGAGAAAAGGTTCTTCTCAAACTGATAGTGAAATGTATGTGAATTGATGTAATTGCTTTTATTCCAGCAAATGCAGCAGCAGAACACACAGAAAGTAGAAGCCAGCAAAGTTCCAGAATATATTAAAAAGGCTGCCAAGAAAGCTGCAGAATTCAACAGCAATTTAAACCGAGAGCGGATGGAAGAAAGAAGAGCCTATTTTGATTTACAGACACATGTAGGCAGATTTAAATTTCTTATCAATTGTGAGGAGGGAGCTCCTTGCTTGTTTTAGTGAAGTTGGTTTTGGTACCATTTTAACTATTTTCAGGGGGGTTGATTCTTTTTTCGCTCATATAGAGACTTACGGTTTTGCTGTTAAATGGGTAGTACTGTTAAAAGTAATAATCTCAAATATATTGAACCTGCAGACTTTTTTAACTTGAAAATAATTGTCTCAGGAAGCTCTAAACACCTCAGTATCATGTTCTTTTACTGATAGTTTTAGCATAAAACTAAGAGCGTTGTTTATTCATGTAAATGGCTAATTCTTCTTTTGAACACTACCAAAATTTTGCCTGACAATACCTGAAGTTAAAAAGAAAACTATTTAATACCTAAAAGTGTGCTGCCTGTCAATATTATGCCCTTATTTTTTGTTAAGTGTTATATTATTTTTCTGCTGCATATGTTATATGCCTCTATGTTTGATTAAAAAAAAAAAAAAATCTGTCATTTTGAAGCAGTGCTGTTCTGCTTCTATAAAGGCAGTAAAGCAAAAATTTTCTATGCAAATTGTTACATGGCAAACAATTACGGGATGTTTTCATTTTCCTGGTATTGACCATGTTAAGAGACAAGATAATGGATAATTACTTCTATTTCCTTCTGAGAGAAGGAAGCCTTATTATGTGAGCTTCTCCTTTTCATATATTTATATTTTTAATGGTTTTTTTTTAATAGTACAGTCTGGGTTCAGAATTAGATGGACGTGTTCTTTCTGCTCTAAAGCAGTGTGGACCAATAGTGATAATTCATGCTAAAGATGCCAGTTACAAATGTTAATGTTTACTATTTCAATTGCTAGATTTTAATTTCAAAATTTTTTTTCTGTCTTTCATAGTATACTGTTTAAAGAGGTTTTACCTAATCTTTGTTCAGTTCACTAGATACTTAGGAATTGGGTTTAATCCATAATTCTGTTCTGTGAGTGGGATCTCTTAGCATTTTAATGAACTGAGTTTCTCATGCGAGAATTTAGATAGCTGTTCCAGTTCAGTAAAACTGGCAAGTTAAAAAATACTTGGAGGAGTATTTGGTGAGGAGGGCTCAACTGTTTGTTTGTGAAACAAAAATGTCATTGTTTTATATTAAACAACACAGATTATCCAGGTGCCTCAAGGAAAATACAAGGTCTTGCCTACAGAGAGAACAAAGGTTAGTCCTTATCCAGTGGCTCTCATACCCGGCCAGTTCCAGGAGTACTACAAAAGGTATTTTAAAAGCATTCCAACTGCCAATTCTGTTCCACTGATCTCTTTTGTCTATATTTAGCAAGTGGAAAACATTTCAGTGTCTTTGCTGTAAGGTTTCAAATTAATTTTAGTTTGTGACACTTGATAGTCTTCAAAGATGCATATTGTGACTGCTTGAGTCAACAAACCAGTGTTGACTGCAAGACTACTGTCTCTACAGTGCTTGAGATTTGGCCTGCTCAGATATTTGCCATAGCAAAAAGGGGCATGGATTTCACTCCTGCCACCCTCCTGTTTATTTATCGTCTGCCTCTGCATGTGTGCTAAAATTAATATTTTTGTATCAGTGTTGTAATGCTGGCTTGTGATCACGTGTCTTCTGTTCTGTTTTGAATTTTTAGAAACTCTTTAAAAAAATTTGGTCCTGTGGGTTAAATTTGATGTTGGATTTGTGAGAAAGACATTGCAAGCTGGACCTTTACATGTTACTTGACTGTTGACATAAATTTAAGATTTTACTAGCAGCATGCTACCACTGAACAAATCCGTACAGATTTGAAGATTTTGCTGAAGTGTTACTGTTGTACAATACAGGTGGTATTCATGCAATATGTGCTTGTTTTTTTGTAGAGCAGCTCTTTGTCTGCATGTGCCTTGCTCCTTCCAGTGTGTGTTCATACAGCCCATCCCAAATTTGCATGTTACAGGACATTCCTGAAGGACTTAACTTTTATTAAATCAATTGAACTAAAATGACTTCATATTATGTTTATTTTGCACTTGTAAGCTGCTGGTGAAACTGCTTTTCCATCTCAGTGAAGGACACGACCTTTCATAATATGCATCAAAATAGTATCCTGTTCCTTACAATGCTTGTCCCCAGCAGTAAGAGGGCTTTCACTTTTTCTTAGTCTTTAGGGTTAAAAAGGGTAGAATATGCATGATGAGCTGTATCTGGCTATAAGTGGTGTGATTATACCTTTACATTCTTTCAAAATTACATTTTCATGTGCATTTTTTTGTTCTCAATAATCAGCTACACAGCTGTATTCTGTGCTTTGGATATGTTTATGTGCCCTGAGTTAGAATTTTACACGTTATGGAGCTCTGTACATTCATAAACAAAGTGTATGGTTTGTTTGGCATAGTAAGCATGGATTGGTTAATACTTTGCAAATTCCAGCTGTGTTCCATGAATATCTGCTCTACAAAGAGGACAAGTTCTATATATAATATCACATTTGGGAGGAAAAATTAGTATGGTTCCTTTGTTTTCAGAGCTTCCTATTTTTATGTGCCTTCCTGAAAAAAAGGAGACTCTTATTAAAGTCCCTGTGTACTGTGTGACTTAATATTTACGCATACAGTACACATGAATGAATGAATGAATGAATTAATTTTATTTATTTAACATCAGATATTCTCCAGATGAACTTCGTTATCTGCCGTTAAACACAGCTCTTTATGAACCTCCTTTGGATCCGGAGCTGCTTACACTGGACAGTGATGGAGATTCAGATGATGCAGAGGAAGGACGAGGTGATGAAAAAAGGAAAACCAAAGGCAATTCGGTGAGACAAATTGAAAGTATTCTTGATCAAAAAAGTCCTTTCCCTTCACTTTTGTTAGTTTGATTACTTTCTTAGAATCTTTTAACATTTGCAAAATGAAGGAAAGACCCTTTTTAATACTTCCATTTATTTCATAACACTGTTCTCCATTGCTTTCTGTTTTGGTCCATTTTCAGGGTAAATTGAAAAAATATTTGACATTTCAGGCCTTTTCTTCCTGTTTATAATTTTATTTTGTTTGTTTTGTTTAAAGAAATTTTGAAGAAACTTCCCAATGCAGCTTTTCATTATGCCCTTTTTCTCGAGGGAAAGTTGCTGGCATTACTGAGGAGAATGAATACTGTAGTTCAGGTCACAGTATACTTTTTTTTGTGATGTGGAAGCAGCAAGTATAGAAACAGTTACTTCATTCCAATTAAATTTATTTAATTTTATTATTAAATTAAATTCCAATTTAAAAAGAAGGTTAAAAGCACTGTGGTTTTTTGCTTTACAACACATCTTTTAAAAGATATTTATGTTCTCTCCACTTATGCAAATGCAAAATTAAGCATTAGCTGAAACTTAAGGGAAACTTTCATGTACGTACCTTGGTAGTTCTTTAAATGCTCAAGAGCCAGCTGAGATTCAAAAGCTGAGCACAACTGAACCATTGGTGTATTGGTGCAGTTTGTATTTCGGTGACAATCTCTTTCCAGAAGTTTAACCTAATTTTAACAGTAGTAGAGTATCACAGTGCATTTAGCAATTTCTGGCATGATTGGTGAACGTGTTTGGCAGTGGGTACGTACATTTCTAAATTTTGTCATGGAAATATCTTCTGTGAAATTTGTAAGATAATTATAATTGCAGAAAGGAAGAGGTCAGCTTGTAGTTTAACAAAAGGAGAGGTAAATGTTTAACACACTGTTTCTGCTTGCATTTTTTTGAGAAGAAGAAATCATAAACATAGCATGCTAAATGTCAACTCAAATTTTTGGTTTAATCACACTCCAGCTTTTTTACAGTTGGTCAGTTTAACCATTTTTAACCATTTTTTCCCAGTTTTCTTTTCCATTGACTTCCTTTCTCATTAATGGTAAAGAAAAGTGACTTGACCAAGCAGACTATCCTTTTGATTTTTCACAGAGGCTCAGAGTTTTTTGTTTTTTTTTTGTGACAGAATGCAGAAGGAAAAATATCCCTGAGTTTGAAAAGTGTAGAGAAGTGTGGAAGATTGATAATCAGATTTCTGTGAAGTGGTTTTGGCTATGGGAGCAGGGGTTCATGGCTATTTAGTCACTGAGGGGGACATACAGTTTAAAAAAACCCACAGAGTTGGGACATTGTCAGATTTGGGCAACCTGCCATTTTCTCAGATCTCCTTGGGGAGTCCCACAATATGCTATAACTTTTCCTTTTTCCTACCTCCCCCTGCTCCATTGTCAGAGTTGGTAGCAGTTTTCTTTTCTGTAGTGTTTCAGTGGTTCTGACCTAAATAATCCTTTCCTTAAAATAATGGTGAAACATACCATTTCTTCTTGCCACATAGTTTAATCTGCTTTTGTGTTACACTCCTCCATTTGCTGTGTCTGTTTTGTCTGTTTGATTTTAGGACCTGGGGAACAGGCTGATTACTATTGTGTTTTTACAGAGTATGTTTTACTGTAGGGCACCATTGTTATTTGGCCTCTTGGGTTTTATTGTGATAAATGTGAGTAATCACACTGCTTCCTTCTGGAGCTTTTTGGAAGCCCTTATTAACACTTCTCTGAGAAAAGTCTTGTGCTGCTGCTCTTAATTATGCCTACATTGATCTCTCTCACCCTCCTTGAACCTCTTCCCCTCTTTCTTGCCTCCTTATTCCTCAAAAAAAAAAAAAAAAAAAAAGCTTTATGTACAAAATAAATCTGTTGTTTGGTTCTGTATTAAATATGGAAGTGTGTTTTGCCATTGATGGCTTTCTTCTGCTGCAGTCCAAATTAAATATTTACATTGCTCCTGGTGAAAACAGTAGATAAGGGTGGCAGAAAAAACCTTCACATGTTTTAATTCAAGGCAATCCTTGTATGCTTTACATGCATGCATGACAAGGGCACTTTTAACTTTTTGCTGCCCCTTTATGTTGTAAAGAGCATCTTGCATTTAGTTGATTTCTTGCTGACTTCTAATGAAAACGCTTCAGAGAATTACACTGTTGTGCTTCCCACACTGGTACCAAGACCAACTGCAAGAAACATGACTGCTGTTGCTGATGCCAGTCTCTTAAACCAGAAAACGACAGATTATGGATGTTGTGAACAAAGGTGTTCTAGATTGTGATAGACCCTATGCTTTTGCAGAAGGAATGACATATCCTTCTTTTACCTTAGTTGACTCTAAGGAGCGTAGGAAAGACTTGTCTGTCTATCCAAAAAAATAAATAAAAAAAATATAGCTATGGTATTTTTATTATAGGATAATTCGTCTGGCAATGTATCTGAAGGTGATTGCGCCACAGACAACCAGGAGGATTCTTTTCAGGGAAGACAAAAAACAAGAGACAAAAGTGCTACTCCAAGAAAAGATGGTTCCAAACGTTCTGTATTACCCAAGTCAGTTCCTGGGTACAAGGTAGAAGAAAAAAGCCCCTGACTGAATTTTATTCACCAGCTTCTTCCTGAAGTACTTGGTTTTTTCAATAATGTGGAACTTCTGCTTGCTGTACTTCACTAGCTGTTCTCCTGTTGTGTGCTCCATCTGTTTGCTTCCTTATTTCCTTTTTGCTTATATTTTGTGTGGGGCTTTTCTTTACCTTAGTTGTACAGTGGCCTCCTATTGGGTTAATTTCTTAGATTCATAGGCAGTAAAGCTAGAAAAATCCATTGTGGATTTTTCATTGGAACTCAACATCTTTTTGTCTGCTTTAACATAGCAGTCAGAAGTATGTGCCAGTTTGAAGCTAGTATTCACTATCTGTTACTTTTTTTTTTCTCTTCTGTATGGCAGCATACCAAGAGGCCAGTCCTGTAAAGTGCAGCTGTGTGGCTGAACATATTGTTATGGCATTCATTTTAAATACAGCCTTTCATCCTGTGATGTTATGATGTATAGGATGGAAGGCAAAAAGCTTACTACAGCTGTGTAGGCAACACTATGTAACCCCGTAACAGTATTTGGAAAATAGCTTTTTATGTAGTTCATACTATAGTAACATTTGTGGGCAATTTGCTTTTATCTAAACTAGAAACTTGGTGAGGATGTTAAGACATTTCAGCTATCAAACAGTGATTGCCGAACCTAAGACCCTAATCTTCAGTATTCCCATACAATAATTTCAAGAATTATGATAAAAATACTTTTCAGAAGAAATGGGAATTGGCACACATTGTTTATGTGTTACTATTCTGCATACTGAGAGAGGATCTGAATAAATTGTAACACATTTAAAGCAGGTAGTTGTCTAGTCCTGTTCCACTGAGAAGAGTGAGAGTTTTCCATTGACTTAAATGGGAGCAAGAATAGACCCATAAAGAAGGAAAACACTAAGTTAAGATAGCGTTGAGTGTTTACCAGTCAGAAATGCCAGTTGACAGTTATGGGACAAGGAACACTTCTGTCAGTGACAATATTGTACATACTGAAAATCTGTCTCGGCAAAAGTGAGCTGTTGATGGCTTGCATTTTATGTGTATAAATATTTACTGTCTGTGTTTACCAAGTTAATAGTAAATAAACTATAACTTACAATAAGAAGCTAATTTCCAGCAAAAATTGGACAGCTTGGATAAATTTCCTCTACATACAGTATCTGTACAAGTTTGTAACAGACAGCAAGCTCTGGTTGCATTTTCTGTTTTCAGGAACTTATTAAGAAATGCGTGAACTGTATAGATTTAGACTATGGTTACCACATATATATATTTTTTTATATGTAACTTTGCAAGAAGTTGTAGACATAGAATGCATTTCAGTATTCCCATGAACATGAAATCCAAAGATGAAGGCTGAAATTTTGCTTTAGCTTTGTTTAACTTGACATTAGAAATTGTGTGCCACTGGTTTACAGAAGCTTCACTTAGCTGCGAGATGCTCAAATATTTGATTAGTTCAATCTACTTAATAGACTTATGAGTGCATAGGGTGAGAACTTGTGCAGCAGAACTTTCAGCAAAGTTTTGAACTTAAAATTGTAGAAGAGCAGTAGTAGTATACAGCACTGCATTTTGAAAATGGATTCCCATAGCAATTACTTACTGCTGATTCAGTCAAGAACAAGGTCTTACTATAAATTTACAGCGCCACATCTTTGCAATGTCAGCATACGCTGCCTGCATCAACCATCTGGATGCTGTTACATCAGGGGTGGTGATGGTATGTTAGGAGGGTGAAAGGATTGGCTTTCTTGTTTGTGGGAACATTTGAAATCTTGCAATAAGCCAAATTACATGAGCTGTTTTAACTGGTAAGACAGAATGATTCTTTTTTGTGAGTCTATAAAAACACCAGATAACAATATACCTACCATATGTGCCTACATGTTGAGGCACTTTGAGCCGAAGGCTTAACTGATACAAAATGTTTTCCCTGTGAAATCTTTATAATCCTTTTGTTCTATATTGTTCTCTGATATTGGACTATTTTTGTAGGACACTAATCTTTTGGTTACATGTAGTTAAAATGGAAGGATAATTGCTATGGCATCAGCATATATATATATATAGTTATAGCCACGTTATAAGTATTACAGGATTCCATACATTTCCACTGAGTTATTTTCAAGTAAAAGAAATACTGTATTTTATATGGAGTCTTTTTTATTGTCAGTTCTTTAACAAAGGACAGTTAGGATGTGTTTTACATTTTGTCATGTTACAAGTAGTGAGTCTGTTGCTGCAGGACTGACTGCTACAATTGCACACACAGGGTACTGTTAAAAGTACAGGAGAATTTTTTTTCACATGAAACTGAAATGTGTTGAGTATCTTTATTTTGCAACACTTCTGTTTTGGGTCACTGTATATGAAAATGTAACGCTTTACATTCAGAATAGGATGTTATAAAGACATGGTGTAGTTGGAAAGCTTACTTTGAGAGCTGCGGCACAGCACCATGGAAGTGAAAACCTACACAGCACAGTCATCATTTTGACCCTTCATTTATTTTCTCTCCTATCTTACTCCAATGAGATGGGGATGTAGAAAGCAAAATATACTCCTAGTGAGATGGGGTATTGTGACTTCCCATTTGGAATTGACAGAATTTTTTATAGCATTTCTAAAAGCCACTTACGGTGATAGAACGGAACTGGATTAAAATGTGAATAGTCTGGATTTGTTTGTTTTTATTTGTTTTTGTTTTTGTAAAAATACTTCCATACTGTTGGAACTTCATTCTTAAAAGGCTGTGATTTTCTCCCCCCCTTAATATGCACAGTTTCTGATGAATGCAGGTTAGTGAACTAAGAGTAGATGGAAGCATTGTCTAGCTTGAGTTATGTGTATCAGAATGTGAACTGCACACACCTTTAACACTTGGATGTGTCCAAAAAGCAGCTCACTTTGGCTGGAGTATTGGCGAGTGTGCTATTGTATATTAAAGGCAGTAAAATACAAATCTGTAACAAGCCAGAAGTTTGATGAGGAAAGTGTGCTTGCTATGTTAGAGAGGCTCAGTTTCTTAGATTACAGTACAATTAAAAAAAAAAATAGCCTAAACAATGGAAGGGTAAATGCTGCCACACTGACAAGGTTTAAGCATGTGCCACTTTTGTTGGGAGGAGCAGGGTATAAAGGTATACATGTAGGACACGTAGTATAGTTAACAGTAAAAGAGTTTATGCGTGGTTTTGCTTCCATTATATTTATTATTTTGTAGAGATGTTTGTGTGTTAGACTTCTTTTACTGTTTTATTATATTTATGTATAAAACAGGTTGACTTTGCTTTTTTAAAATAAATAAGCAAAAAAAAAAAGTGTCTATGAATGCCTCTGTCATCTTTTGAAGGAAGTTACCTATAAACACATGGTGTGGTGGTTTTTTTTCTTTCTTGAATAAAGCTCATTAGACTGAACAATTTGAAGCAGGCTGTAGCCATGTTTTTACATAAAAAGCACATTGAAAACTTTAGAAAACTTAAAGCAATGCATCCTGATACTTTAAAAATGAGTCAAGATACCAATTACCTTGCTAGATGCTATCCAAAACTGGCTGGGGAAATGAACACACTTAAAGATAAGTTGTATTGCAAAAGATCTTTGTAACTGTGTTTATTAATTTATTTGTGTTTTCATTTTTTAGATTTGTTTTAAAATTAAACCTAATTCTTCTTGCATGTGGTTGGTAGTTGACTGGGATTCTTGCTTACTGACAAGCTATTCAGAAGCCTTCAGCTCCCTCTGCTAGCTGGGTCTTTGCAGCAACATTGGTTTTTAAAACTGGTGCTAGTCAGTTTAAATCAGTGAGTACTACATCAGTTGTGTAGGCTACATTTCTCACTGATTACATTATGCAGCAGTCAAAGCTCAACAGTGTAACTGCTGCCATATTTCTGAAATTCAGAATGCTTTCCTTCTTCCTCAGGCCTCATCAGGATGAAACTGTTGGTGTATCTATGGAGTTGGCATACACAATACATAGGCAGATGTTCCACGTTGTAACAGCCCGCTCTTTATCTTACCCTTGAAATGCATCTCATGGACCCAGACACACTCCAGATGATCACTTAGAAAAATTCTAAATGTAAATGTCTAGTCAAATGCAAGGGTTTTGTTTCTTACATGGTTATGACTGAATAAAAGCAAGGGTAAAAGAAAGACAGCCCTGTACAGCATAGCTAACCAGGAAATTTGAAACTGAAGATAGAGAAAATCAAGTTTATTGCTTTTGTAATTAATTTTATATATGTAGGAAGAAATGTAATGCAAGTAACAAAATTATATATAATTTCCTTCATAAACAAGAAATCCACACAGAAGTTCATAAAGTAGTATTCTATATTGGAAGAATCTTCCTGAAATTTTTCATCCTATGTCACATTAATTCACCATGAGGAGAATATTAACTGATGAATTAATACAAAGAGGCAAGTACATGCTTTTGATCCAATTGGATTTACATGCAACTTATTATGACAAATGCAAAATTTTATGTAGTTAAATCTATGATTTTTTCCAGTGCTGCTGCTTGTCAGTGATTGTCCCGTGTTTCAGGGTTCACACGTCCTGACAGACAGTTTATTAATTTTAATAGTTAAGGAGATAGATGACATTTCCTGTTGAATCTGTGAATTCTTCTGGAATGAATTTATAGCCCTCTTCTACCCTTCCAGCCAAAGGTCATTCCAAATGCTATATGTGGAATTTGTCTGAAGGGTAAGGAGTCCAACAAGAAAGGAAAACCTGAAGCTCTTATACATTGCTCCCAGTGTGACAACAGTGGTGAGTATCTACATACACTAAGTGGATTCCTAAGGGAATTTGACAGATCTGTTTGTGGACATATTTAGTGTACTCCATGTGTAGCAAGAGTTCAGTTGCCCTTTCTGTCCTTTGTTACAACCCCATGTCTCTTTTGTGTTCTCTGTGCTCGCACACTCGGTGCACTGTGGGATCTCACCAGGAGGTGAGCTAAGCTTCATGTTTGGTAAAAACAAACAGTCTAACTAATTCTAAATTTCATTTCAGGCATAAAAGTAATAATACTGGTTTTCATCTAGGCCACCCTTCTTGCCTTGATATGACCCCGGAGCTTGTTGCTATGATTAAGACTTACCCTTGGCAGTGTATGGAGTGTAAAACATGCATTATATGTGGGCAGCCTCACCATGAAGAAGAAATGATGTTCTGTGATGTATGTGACCGTGGTTATCACACTTTTTGTGTGGGGCTTGATGCTATCCCTTCAGGTAACAGAGTTCCCTTGCTCCCTTCCCACTTCCTCTGAGTCCTGGACTCACTCTCAGAATTAATACACACATTGCTTTTGAAAGAATAGTTTAAAACAAGAGTGAAGGGGAAGAAACACTGTAGGAAAGCATTCACACTACAGGACTTTTTTACTAAGCTTTATTTCTGTATATTTGGTTGTGCACAGTTAAACCTGGCAATTCCTGTGTAGGAAACGTAATTCTGTATATTTGGTTGTGCACAGTTAAACCTGGCAATTCCTGTGTAGGAAACGTAATTGGCTTTTACAGCGTAATCCAAACAGGCTCAGAATTTTTTTTTTTTTTATATATCCACAGAATACTGAGAATAATTACCTCTTTTCATTGAAGAAACCTGTAAAAGAAACTGTATTGCTGCATATTGCTGGAGTATAGCTTTCACATTAATTGTGCTGTTTTAGCTTCTAAATGAAATAGTTTCTTTAAACCCTTTCATTCCTTTTTTTATTCTTAAACATCAAAACTGCAACAGAAGAACCTCCATGGTAGGCACACAAGCCAGTAGCTTTAAATTACTTAAATTGCTTCTATCATGTGGTCAACTCAGGGCAGTAGAAAGAAAATAACACTGGTACTGTTGCTTTACATGTAATTTTAAGTCCATAGTAAGATCATGAATACATATTCAGCGGCAGTGACTCCACTGCAGTGACATTGTACTGCCCCATTTTGGGAAGCCATGGAGTTAGCTGTCACTTTTGTACAGGTTCTGTGACTGATTTCACTTTGAGGCTGACCTAAGAATATAATCAAAATAGATTACATGTCTACAAAACTACAAAATTACCAAAGCAGCCTTTGATTCCAGCTATTGTAACATAAACAGTTAAATGCTTCGCCAACTGCCATTCATTTCTGTTCTGGGTAACTTCACAACTTGAACTGTAGTCATTCACCTGAAAATATGAACGGCAAACTTAAGCATTGTTTGTAAAGCTCTTACCTAACTACCACCTCCTTGGCAGTGCTGGCACTTCCTGAGGTCCATGAAGATTGGTGTAGCCAGTGGTTACACATAATGTAGTCTGCAAGGGAGTGTGAATTGCATATGCTGCTTTGTAGAAAAGATGCTCAATTTTAAAAGCATTGGTTGTTCACATTAAAGGAAGTACTGCAAATCAATAAGCACCTAAGAATGGTGAAGGGCTGCCTAAACAGATGAGAGAGTAACAAACCTAGTTTCCCAATAATTGATAACTTTCTTTTCTTAGGTCGCTGGATTTGTGATTGTTGTCAGAAAGACCCTCCTGTACCCAGAAGAGGAGGAAGAAGGGGGAAAAACAGCAAGGAGGGCTAAAAAAGCCCTAAAAACTTGCTGTCCAAAACTTAACTGCACAAATTAAAGTGATACTCTGGTGCTATTTAATCAACCACTCTATAAGAGGAGCAATACCACTTTTTTTTTTTTTTTCCTTTTTATTAAATAAACTTTGTCTATATATTGATTTTTTTGTGATACAAGTCACTAATGTCCTGTCAGGTGTTGAGAGAGGCAAGCCAAATTTCCACTCAGAAAAGTCTTTCAGTAATGAAATTTAAATTATACGTGCATTTGTATAAAATTATAGTAACATACTTGTTTATTTCAGTGCATTCATCAGTAAGCTCTGTAAAAAGAAAATTACAGAGCAATTTATATGTACTTTATTTGCATAGCAACTGGTTATTCTGACAGACTCAGCCAAAGCAAAAAGTATTCCTGTTAGGAAGAGTGGGCATGAGATGACCTTCTAACAATGTACTGCAAATCCCTTTCAGCAGAAATTTTCCTTGCAAGCTGATGATTTATATATATGTGCTTGGAAAAAAACCAAAAAACAATCACAAAAAGCTATCAAGGGAAGTGTAAGAAAGCACCTCTCAAGTTTGAGATACCTAAGTGCTGTGTTGTTTGTAATGGGAGACGAAAATGTCATATTGATGAGCAGCAACAACTGAAGGCTCCCTCTCCCTGCAGTAATAGCAAAGAAGCAACATGCACTTGATTCAGGTCATGGATTTGTAGTGGTGATGAGTGACTGGACCAACCTCCGTTTGACAGGTGGCTGATGTGATGTTGAGCACACACAGTCAAAATACAGAACATCTATTCCCTTAGGTGATTATTTTCTCCTTCCTTCACCCTAAGCTCCCTCAACTTCATGAATACGCTCAAACACGCTGCTGACCAGTTTTACTGGAGATGCTTGCTCAGAAAAGAAGCGGGTTTTATTTTTAAATATGCTCTAAATTGAGAGGGGGACTGAAGTGCAGTAGTTTTTTCATTTTTCTTTATAAAAAACAATAGAAAATACTGAATTGGAATTGATTTTCCTAAGCACCTATTTTAAGTGAATTTAACAAGATCCAAACTATACATTCATTTTTAAGCCCTGATCTCTGAAGAGCACTGCAAATACTGTGCTGGCTGTTCATTTTACATATTGGGAAAGGTTTACAATAAAAAATTAAGTATGGCTTTTTCTCCCCACTTCCTTTCTGGTTTAGGAAATGTAACCTGAATATTTCTTCAGGAAACATAGTGAGTATTAAATATTACAGCAAGTCATTCATACCAATTTCACAGGATGAAGTGTGATTTAAGTCCAGTGTATATCAATTTAAAAAAGGATTTCAAGTATTAATTTCAAAATCCCAATAAGTATCGTCCAGAAAACAGACTCCTCATCCTGTGATTCATCTTCTGTAGACTGGGAATATTTCTGGTTTGCCTCCATCTCCTCAGGGTTGTAAGAAGCCTCGCCAAATGGGTACTGTACAACTGTTCGATCATAGTACACCTTCATTTCAAACTCACTCTCCAGGTGAGAGGGATGGCCGTAAATCCCTATTCCCACAGGGCGGCGGAAGTGTGCAGGCACATGTACGATGTCCTGGCCACAAGTTACAGACTGTAACTCGTACTCGTCAAAGCTGGGGTGAAGTGTCACATCAGATACGTACAAGTCTGCGTCACCTTTTAAACTCCGCATCTGAAGAACGATCTTTCCCTCGTGATTTAGTCTCAAATAGCTGTAGTTTCCTGCTCCAATCTGACCTTGGACAACATGAAGAAGAATCCACTCCTCTGGTATGTCCTCTTCCTCAAAGGCATTTACCACAAACAGTACTTGAGCTGTCACAAATACTGTCAAGATGCTTCTCCAGTGTGTTGCCATGGTCTTCAGTTGTATTTGGATTCTTCCCGTGTCCTGTGTGCTACCTTATGAATACAAAACACAATTGAGATTTTAGTATATTCCCTTCTTGAAAGTAATCTATTTTTTTGTTTTAATTTGGTAATTCTTATAAATCCACTCTAGTCCATACAAAGTTAACTTGTTAAGTTTGTTAACTTGTATTTTTTAATAGTCACAGAAAAAAATGTTAAGATTCAGAATTTTTGTCAGAATAAAATGGCTTAAGTTTCCAAAAGTTAAACAGAAATGAATCAAACCAGTGTTTTTTCAACAGAATTGACACTTTAAGTTTCATTCTATCTGCATGCATGCCAAACTTGATAGATACCCAGAAGGGATGAAACCCAATCATGATTTTAGCTTCACTTCAAAAAAACCCAAAAAGCAGCTGAGGAAAGGAAGGGTTTTGCATGCTTGAAAATGCTTAGCTTTCTATGAGGTACTTAGGGCATCCTATTTGTTCTCCTAACCTCATCCTCTCATCTCAACTTCAAAACACAGTAAAGGTGCAAATCTGTGGATGTGGACTTGAAGCAGTAGGCATTCCAACTTGCACTGGTATGGAGTTAGAAATAAAAACAAGTTATCTAATGAAGTAATACATTAATTTATAATCCTGATGTATGGCTTGTTTCTCGGATCAAATTTAGGCACATTTTCCCTGAAAAAAAAAAAAAGCATTTACTTTCAAGTAGGTTTTGTTACAGTACACGCTGTAACAAAAAACGCTCAGCTCTTTACAGCACTTGCATACAAAAGATAAGGCTGAAGGTACTGGGACAAGGGGAAGCTGGAAAGGACTGCTGCAAGATCAACGCTCTTAACAGCCTATTCCCTCCTTGCTGCACTCTCCCAGTCGGGCAGCCTGAACGTGCTTGCCACTCTCCAGCCCTCTGAACAGCTGCACTAAGTCTCTGTGTGCAAAGCAGCAACTTCCAAACCTTGCTGAAGGCTTGCAAAGTATAGAGCTGACTGAATTTAACATGCAAATCACAGGAGCCACAAGCCTGAACACCTTCAGGTTTAAGAGGAAGATTGCCATCCCCTCATCCCTTCAATAAGGACACTACAATTATCTGAAACCAGGAAGCTGCCTGTAACTTGTTTTGTACCCTAGCTAGCATCAAAACAAACTGCATTGCTTCCACTGGGATGTCACTTAAACGTTAGAAGTTCTACAACTGAACGGATCCAGGGGAGAAAAAAAGAGAAAAAAATGCCCAACTGTTTCTGTAGTTCGATGTTTTCCGCCCCAGAGGCCTCTCTACTGCAAGGCCACAATTCTGCAAAGACAGCGTAATAGAACGAGGTGCAGCATTCGCTGAACCTGCTAGACTGACAGAACTCCCTCAACAGCCACAGGATAAAACAGTCTTTTGTCTCGCCCGTATCAGAAAGCTGACTCTCTGTCACTTGCACATCGAAGTAGTGATGAAAAACGCGATCGGAGCCACAGAAGGAGCTCCACATCTGACCAGAAATTAATTAAAGTTATCTAGGAAAGAACTAAAACGTCCTGGCGCCGGCGGTGCGCTCGAGAGGAGAAGCGCTTCCGAGAGACCTTGGACAGAGCCACGAACGAGCGGCTCTGCCCGCCCCGGCTCGCCCCCGCCT